ACGGGACTTGATGCTGCACAGAGGAATAGACAGGACTTGAGGCTGCACAGAGGCTGCAGGCTCTGGAACAAGACAGAAACTAGACAAGACACTCCGGGTGCAAGAGGATAGTGGGGTTCTATATAAAGGCAGAGAAAATGACTTGGTTGGATGGAATTATTGGCAGCAGCTGATGCTAATTCTGGTGCTCACTGTTGGCTGAGAAGTGACAAAACAGATGAAAAAAAATTCAAAAGTTAAAAATTGGTTAAGTGAAATCAAAATAGCTAGGTTTAACAGTCTTGAATGTGTTCTGACAGCAGTACCCATATCCTTTCAAAGGACTAATGTTAAGTTTGGAACTTCGCATGAACATTAGCCTTACTGTTGGCAGTGAGGAAATTGAGGCTTGAATGTACTCTGGTTTATAGTTGGACACAGACATTTACATTTCTAATCAGTTTAGCTACTTTTAAGCATATTTTTCATATTCATCATTCTGTTTATAAAATTCTCAGTTGATGATAGAGATGCTGTTTGATATGAAATCAGAATTGGCTTTTAGCCTGAAAATGCTTTGCTAAACTTACTAGGGACTAGAGAGAAAACATTACTGTCTCAAGAAGTGGGACTTCCTATACAGTGGCTTATCAAAGGCAGTTTACTCTCAGGTAGGTTCCAAAGTCAGTGAGACAAGCTGAGGGAGATGCCGTCCATCACACTACCTTATTTTGACATTTACAGAGAGAATTTGACCCATTTGTTACACAAACTGCTTTCCAGCAATACAGGATTAATCACCAAGACGCATTGAGAATGCATAGACGTAATGGACAAAACAGAGTTTCTGACAGTTCCTGCATTGTAAAAGAAATGAAAAGCTGAAAATCTATTCAGACCTCCTTAAAAATACATTTTTGAGCAATTGTCACAGGCTTCATAAGATGTTTAAAGCTTAGGCATTAACTTTTTAATCCAACGCTTTTAAACACAAACACTTATCGTTTAGTTTAAAGAGATGAAAAGTTTTGGAACCTTTGTGATTTAAAGTAATTCAAGACCTCTGACTTCCTCGGTAGTAACCCCCCCCCCCCCACACACACACACACACACACACACACACACACTTTGGGTCCATCTTCAAAGATGCCTAAATTTGATCTTGTTTTGGGTGATATGTTTTTTTTTTTTTTTTTTATCACATTTAAATACAAATTTAGACAAATTTTGAGCTGCATATTTCTTCCTAATTCTTCTCTTTCAGGGAAAACAGGCCAAGCGCTGTTTTTGTCTCAAGAATTCAAACTTTTTAAATCGTTAACACATGAGCTAAAACAAGACAAAAAAAAGAGAAAGCAACCTGACCACATTGTGTGAGTCCAAGTGCATTTATATAACACGGCCTGCGGATTGGATCTGCCTCTGAAATGTTTACCAAACTGTCTTCTTTCCATTCAGTAATGTTTATGTCTCATATACCCTGAAAGTCTATTTTTGTGAAGCAAAAATAATTGATTCCAGAGAAGTTTGAGTTCTGTGGATTCAGAACTCAGAAACATGTCTCTCCAGGTCCCTTAAGCCACCAATCAGAACACAGGGAAACGACGAGGGATAAAAGAAAGGAAGATTTTTTAAAACCAGTTTGCATTTGGACTGAATGCTGAAACATTTAAAGATTATTTCTCTGTTGCCTTATTTGTAATCAGACATTTTTAGATAAATATTTCAGATAAAAAAAAAAATCTTAATATCAGACAATGATAACCTGAATACATTTTAGAGTCCTCATAAAATTGGCACACATTGTAGATAATTAATAAAACATATTACCAAGACTTCACATTTGGTAATCCCAACCCTGCACACATCTGACCACTTGGCATGGTTTTGTAGTGACAGTTTTAGTTTTTTTGGTGAAAGGAAACTGAACCACAGAAAAAAGTTAATGTTAACAAACAGCAACGGATTCAGACCAAAGTTAACGAACAATAGGTGGAAAACAGCCTAAGATGCTGTGTTCTGCTTTTATACAGGCTGCTAATGTTTAAAAACATTCCATTGTGGTTGAATTCACCGTCCCGTCCCGTCAGAGAGACGTACGTGGAGCTTCATCCCACCACAACAAGGCTACTGTCTGCTTTTATAGGCGGTTAGAGAAGAGCAG